CGAGGGCAGGAGCCACTGTGTGCCTCTCCCGGCCGCCGAGGGCAGGAGCCACTGTGTCGCACTGTTAGGCACACCCACACACACACATGCACTAACAAATTACACAGATACACCTGAAGAGCTGACGTCACTGGAAATTCAGATAAAAGCTGTGAGTTAGTTCAGCAGCAGTCACACCGTCGTTCTGAAAACCAAGAGAACCATCCCAGGCTCTTACCGGCGCAGTGAAGGAAGGCGGTAGTAGCTTCTAATTCCTCCCGGAGGCTGACAGGTTGTACACATCAGTGCTCCCGACAGCGCACTCCCCGCCGCCTTTTACAAAGGACCTGGTGACCAGGGAAAGTCAGCGACAGCTTGCACCTCTGCACTTCTGTTAGCGCTCTCATCTGTGCTGAGTTGTGCCAAGACGCATTGCGCAGCACCTGCTCCACTTGGTCTTCAACATATCCATATGATGGATGGACACAGCAGAAGCATCACAGCTGCGCTACGGCAAAAGCTGCAGTCTGTCTTGAATTTTCTGCGTACATTCGTACAGCTCCGCTACCAGGAGCCTCACGGCCTGGTGGTTGTCCTTCACTGTTCCGGAGAGAGAATTGCTGAGATATACCTCAGCAGCCTGCTGATGCCGATATTCGAGACCAACGGAGCAGAGTAGCGAAGCACTCTGGGACCAAGAGACACGCGACAGGACCAGAGACGTGCGGCTTCTGTCACTCTGTCAGCAGTACATTTACTGTCATTTTGGAAATCATGGTAAAACAAAGTTTTACCAGGGAAACACTTCCACACAGTGACATATAATAAAGAAACTACATTTTCACGTTTACTTGTCCTTTATGTATCCTGTTAAATAATAGTTACAAAACATTAATGGTGAGCCCCTCAGCCGCTTTCGGACTAGCGCGAGGCGCTAACGAAGCAAACTGTGGACCAAGTGCTGCGCAATGCGTCCGCGTCTTGGCACAACTCAGCACAGGTGAGAGCGCCAACACAAGCACCGAGCTGCAAGCTGCCGCTGACTTTTCCGCGGCCACAACTTCCTTCTAAAAGGCGTCGGTGAGAGCGTGGGACGGTTCCGCTGGTTTTCAGCGCCGCGGTGTGCGTCCACAGGTGCTGCTGAGTCCTCTGTAGTGTCCAGTGAACTAATTGTGAGAGCTGACTCTTCCTTCTCACCGCTGTTGAATTGACACCGTTTTAAAAGCAGTTTCAGTGAAATCAGCTCTTACTCTACTAAAATTCGTGTGATTGGTCAGTGCGTGTGTGTGTGGATGTGCCTGGCTCCGTCTGTTTTGCCTGTAACATTATCCAAGGGAAAGTTTCTGCTGAGATTCAAACTAGAAATGAATCAGCGGCCCCGGGAAACAACATAAAACCCTCCATACGATCATGGCCTGAGCGAACAGAAGAGATGGCTTCAGGTGGCACACAAGGTCTGACTTTGTACATGACCAAATGTTTGTTTAATGTTATGTTTCTGTAATAAAAACACATTTGTGAGTTTATTCCTGTCACTGAATTGTTTCCTTACTCCTTTCATGCTGTGACAGTGACCAAACTGCTCTGTTGACACAGCAGATAGGCTGCAAAATTCAGCAAATTTAAATATGATGATTACATGTAGAAATGTTTTTGTGCCACATATAAAACTAAAGAGAGAGGTGCAGTTTATTTTTAGAGCTAAAAATGAGTAGAAGCTGAAAGAGTGCTCCATAAATAATGATGACCTTTATGATAATGCTTGTTGACTTATAATATACTTTAAATCCATCACATTATTTGCGGTTCTTGAAAAGTCCTAAAAAATGATGTTTTTTGTGTCATACTGGGCTCTTTATTAACTAAAAGTGGGATTGTTTCTAATGTCACTCTGTCTTTTTTTTTTGTTTGTTTCTGACCTGTAGCAGACACCATTACCACTGCTAGTAACAGCAGACATGATGCTTGTATTCTTAATTGTACAATCTGGGCAATTCTATTATTATCAAATACCTTAATGAGTTAAGAATTTTAATTGATCAATCCTATTAATTTTGTGCTGATTATCTGAATCCAAATCACATTAACTTAATGAATCATGTGCTGAGAAGTACTGAAATAAATGTGACATCTCTGAAGGTTTTTTTTATATTGTTGTACTTTGCCCAGTGTGATTGTGAAATAGGAACTAAATTATATTCATGTGATATTAAAAAGCTTTAAAATGTAACTTTGTGAACCCTGCAGAAATCCTTGACGTGGTGGTTACAAATGGGTGTTTAATGGGGTTTAAACATAAGCATGTCAGCAACATTTGGCTCATTTCAGGCAAATGATTTTATATTTTAAAAAGTAATTAGAAGCAGAACACACATGTCAATTGTCTCTGTCTCTGCAGGGTTCCGGAGTTTGTGCGTGAGAAGCGTTTCGGGAACTGGCTGAGAGAGGCACGTGACTGGGCGATTTCGAGGAACCGTTACTGGGGTACACCGATCCCTCTCTGGGTCAGCGATGACTTTGAAGAGGTCAGGAAAACACTAAGCACACAAACATGCATTTGTTATGCCTTAATAGAATGCTTAATGATTCAAATGTTTTTTTTTTATTTTGCACAAATCGCACAGTTTATCTGTGTCATAACCAAATACCAAGACAGTTATTTTTTTCTGAGAGAGCTGATCGCAGCATGACAGCACTCACAAATCAGTCTAGGCTGAGAATAAGAGCGCATAATTGAAAAGTTGAGCTCCCTGCAACTTACTTTTATTTACCATAGAAATTAGTTTGAAGATAAATGTCTTATGTCTCTCCAAAGGAAGATTGTCTGCTGCAGGGGTACAGAAATCCAGCTCTTCTCATAAACTGGCAGCATGAACATTTTTCTCACTGACCTCTTTTTGACACTCACATAATTTAGCATATATGGCCCTTTGTGAGAGAAGCTTGGTGTAGGAGAGACTTTCTTGGCATGGCAGAGTGAGGTGAGCATGGTGTCAAATCAGAGAATGTAGCGTGACTCCATACGGCATAGTCAGCTCCGCTAAGGCACCATTACCAAGTGCCTCTGTGAACTTAACACATAAATGATTCATTAATGTAAATAGCAAATAAACATGAACCAAAATGTGTTTGGTTTCTCTTCATACTGCTCAAGGCAACTACAAAGTTCCTCAAGGCAGTTTTTTTTGGGGGGGGGGGGCAGGGCACAGAATTAATTAGCTGATGAAGAAAATGATGACGTGAAAGACACAAGAGGAAGGAAAATGAGAAATAGAAGAGAAGGACAGTTGGTGCAAGAGGGAAAAGAGGCAGTGGAGAAGAAAGCCAATCTGAAAATGTTTTTCTTATGAATGTGTATTACAAACCCCATCTGACTTTGTGCTGTACAATGAACTGAATAGAGATATCAGAACTGGGTTGTTTGAGTGTTTGAAAAATGAAGTGTCAGGTCAGCGACCTGCTTGCTGGAAATAGTGTTGTGACTGTTACCAGAACACTTATGCATCTTGGTGCCTTCCTCACACACACACACACCTCGGCGGCAAAATCAATCACACACCCAGAACTAAAGCTGCAAGTGTGAGTTTGCATGAGTGTGGCAGTACTGTATGATTTCTGTCTCTCAGAATCTTTTCCTTCCTTTTCCTCTCTCTATCTTTCTGGCAGTCGTCGTCCCCCCCCCCCTTCCCCTTTTTCCCCCATATCTGACGGTGGTGCGTCAGACTCTATCTGGGACATGTTACCTGGTGCTGTGCTAAAACTAGAGCAGAGCCTACAGGTTAATCCTCTGAGGAGATCAGATAACACACTTTACCATACTTTCAAAGGTAAAGTTACTCAAGAAGTGCGTTGAAATAGGGTTACTTTTAAGTGGTGTGTCATTGTAATAATAATAGGTAGCCTAGACAATTTCATGAGAATTGGGAGATTTAGAACTCCAAATTAGGTATATACAGTATATACACACCTAATGGGTTTAGTTAATTTAGGTTTAACATTACTGAAGATATGCAGAGTCACTTTCTTATCAAGAGGTAGATGACAATGTTGATACCACTTATACATTGGATAGCAAATACAAATTTACTGCCAGTAGCTAGTTAGCTTAGCTTAGCACAAAGACCAGAAATAGTGGGAAACAACTAGCCTCGTTCTGTCAAAAGGTCATCTGCTAATCTCTACATGCTCAATAATTAACATTTAGATATTGTTTGTTTTATAGTGCTGTGCATACCTTCACACCATACAGACTTGAAAGTGTTCTCTCCTGTAGCACTTTTTTAAAATGTCAGACTTTTAATTTCAGGGGTAAAGGGGGGAAATGAGTCCCCTTTTATATAGAATTTACATTTGTCCACTACACTGTGGACTGTTCAAATTAACCCATCTACCTTGCTCACTTTAGAGTTAAATGAGCTGCAGTGTTGATTTTATTTATAGTTTATAATTTATAAAATGAAAAATGTTATCAGAATTTTCCAGAGCCCAGGGTGTTCAAATAGTTTATTTTATTGGACCAGACGTCCTGGAACCACAAATATTTCTTTCATGATGGTTTAACATTGTACAGGCTAAATTCCATCTAAGTTAATTTTTTGTGATTGGACTTAAGTAATCATCCAATTGTTTTAATACTACTAGATTATTTTTTTTGATGTGGCAGTCTGATAATGAATGTGAATGCTGTCTTGCGATTCCCTATTTGTGTGTGTTTTTTCATCAGGTGGTATGTGTAGGGTCCGTATCTGAATTGGAGGAACTGACCGGAGTCAAAGTAACTGATCTGCATCGAGAAAGGTGAGTCACTGAGCAGACACCCAGCTAATCAGCCATCCACCTGAACATGTACTAAGATGTCCGTATGTACTGTATAATTTCATCCATTTTAAATCTGCCATGTCCTTCTAATGTGACCTGTCTGCCTGAACCAAACAGGTGTTGTGACTCTTCCACTGTCCATCCTTTAATTACCTTTAATCACTCCCATGGGGCTTGGCATCTTTTCCTCATGAAGGAGGAAGATGTCGCTTTCATGTTGCTCATGTGTTTTGGTTGTTGAGGGTTTCTGTGCAGGTCTTGAAGATTTGGAAAGTAATCAAAATCCTCTAAGATTAAAAAATAAAGACGAATTGAACATATGAAAAAGTAAAGGACAAATTATTAGTTAACATGATGTTTAAAACTGTGGTTTTAAATGGGTTGGTAGACTGTCAATCCACATTATCATATGAAGTGGCCAGTTTGTGATGATGGCCGCATGTAAAAACAGTCTGTTCCGTGCGGTGGTCTTCTCACTCTCTTACTGCCGCACGCAGGTAAAAACTTAGAGCAACAACGTTACCTACAAGGCTGTAAGTCTTAAAGGGGAAGGACCTACCTGTAACATTGATCTCTGTTTGTGAACAAAAGCTGCTGTGGAAACCTTCTCTGCCATAGCTTGCTAGCTTCAGCTGTAAAACCAGTGCGGTTACACATGTGCCTGCAATGCCTTGTGGGAGACTCTTGGTTTGGGCAGTGAGTGCAAGGGCAGTGTGTGCTCAAGTAGGCAGTAGGTTGACAGGCAGGTAGGCAATCCAATGGTTTTGCTTGGGATGAGTGAAATTATTGATCAGGTATTTTTCAATCCTGCTGCTGCCACAGATGACAGATTTCTTTTTGTGCGTGCATTTAATGTCTTCTTTGCCATTGGAATGAAAACAGCAATTAAAGAAATGTAACAAAAAATTCTTTTGGAAGGAACTGCCAACCATACCTTTTAATCAACTTTCTGAGGATGTATTATGATTTTTTGTTTTGTTTACTCAGAATAGGCATTTCATCTGCATTTAATGGGTACTTCACAAGCACTTTATGCAGTTTAAGTAACATTTATGTAGAAACAATGACACTGTAAATAGGTTGAATTTCAGTGAGCCAGTATAGGGAATAAATTAATCAGTATCACTGTGTCAGAAACATATAACCCAAGCCAATAACCATCCTTATTCTAATGGGTGTGAGCGCAGCATGAGTACCACTGTTCTTTTCCTAAACCTCGTTCTCAGCCGTGAAAGATTATAAAAGTGTGGACTGCAGCTAAAAAGCCTGTACACCCATGGATATATACAGCATACAAACTTTTAGATAGTTCCCTATGGCACTAATAAAACCTTTAAAAAACAGAACTGCACAACTCTTATTGCTGCCAGATGTCTCAACAATTTCACTTCTTTTCTCTTTCTTGCCTTTGTTCCTTCTGTCCACACATTCTCTGCCCAGCATTGACAATCTGACAGTCCCATCAAGGTGTGGTAAGGGTATGCTGCGGAGGGTCACAGAGGTATTCGACTGCTGGTTTGAGAGCGGCAGCATGCCTTATGCCCAGGAGCACTACCCCTTTGAAAACAGGAAGGAATTTGAAGACACTTTCCCTGCAGACTTCATCGCTGAAGGCATCGACCAGACAAGAGGATGGTAAGCTGTGGGTGAACAGATGGAAAGAGGGTGACAGATGAGAAGTAAAGAGACTTTTTTTTTTTTACTGAGTTCATTGAGGGAAGTGATGAGAGCACAGCATGAATGGCTGGATGAACAGAGAATCAGGCAGAGAAGTGTGCTTGTGAAAGTTTTTAATTTACTGAGGTGTTAACAAGTAATTGCAAATGGTTGGATTAAAAAAAGAACAATATAAATAATGTTGTTTTTTTCTCAGAGGAAGAAATCATTATAATATGTTCAGTCATACTTGTTACCCTGACCTTGTGTGCTGTCTTTTTATATCCTGCTGTAGGTTCTACACCCTCTTGGTGCTCTCCACAGCCCTGTTCGGAAAACCGCCCTTCAAGAATGTCATTGTTAATGGCTTGGTACTTGCTAGGTCAGTCCACTGACTTATTAATGTTCTGTATTACAAATAAACACATACATGTTCATTAATGGATAGTTGTACTGTAAAGAAAAAAGGATTTGGTGCTGTAGTGAGCATTTACTGCAGCCAGAAGATGTATGCGGGACTTGCTCAGGTTAATGAAAGAACATATCAGTTACTGCAGATAAATGAGCCATATCAATCTTTGGCTACACAGGAAAAGGTAATACTTATTATTAGGGTCAGTTCTTTCTTGGTTTTTGAGTTAAGTGGCATTTTCTGACAGTATTTCTGACAGAATATTCCCAGCCTTATTCCTAGAAACCGTTCAAACATTTACAAGTTATTTTCTTCTAAGAGCAATTTGGCTTTCTGTGTTTCCATGATCATTGTTTTCTTGTCTTCCTCTATTAAGCCACTCTTTTTCCTTCCTTTTAACCACCATTTTTATATTTCTTTTCTTTTTATTCACCATTCATCTCCTCTTAATCTTCCTGCTGTTTCTCATGATTAGTGTGGTATTTATGCTGTAACAACAGCTCTTAGACCTGCTCTTCAGTAGAGCTGCTTGTCCTCAGCTCCAGGGTCTAAAGGCAGTGCTGTGATCATAGGCCTGCTGATCTGGAAAAACTTAAGTAATAGATACCAAGTGCACGATTTCTAACATTTGCTTTTGTGCACGCATGGGTGTGTATGTGAATTAATGTCTTTGCTTGTCCCATTCCTGCAGCGATGGGCAGAAGATGAGCAAGCGCAAGAAGAACTACCCAGATCCTGCACTGATGGTGCAGAACTATGGAGCTGATGCCCTCAGGTCAGCTCAGTGGTTGAATGCATATCTGACGCATGAATGCCCGTGTGTGTGTCGGTGGCAGGGATTTGTGTGGTGACTTACCGTATGTTATTAGCAGGCATGGTCTTAAATGTTTTGAACCACTGTCTACACCCAGCTGTGCACTATCCCAGTCCTACACATGCTCACAACAATTGTACATATGTAGACTCTCTTTTCTCACATTGTCTCATTTGCCCTCATCAGTAAGAGTACCATGACCATATGGCCAAATGAATAAATCACCGTGCAGCTGTACCATATGCTCACATATGCACTGATGAAGAGAACTGAGCTATAGAGAGAAAGGCCCTTACTCTTCAAGGCTTTCAACAGAATATGACTCTTTTGTGCCTTAAACCTTGCTTACAGCAAGTAACGGGTATAGTACAGTGAGCTCTGTTAAGTACTGTGACTAAACCAGTGACAGATTGACATCTTAGCACATTTAAAGTGTTTTAGCAGTTTATAGTTTTGTCTATTCAGCCTTTTATTTCAAATGTACTGTATCTCAGTTGCTGCTATTAAAATCACTCATGGCCTATTGCATGAAGTTGCATCATGTTAGCTTGCTACAAGAATTATTAGAAAGTGGTCATGTATATATTAGAAAGGCATGTATATTGATATGGATTATTTTGATTATCATTTGTCAACAGTATTTTTATTATAGCACAGTGGGTTACAACTTAGAAAAATGCAATGTTATCAAACCTTATCACATTATAATCCACCTGAATTGTATCTGATTTTGCACATTTTTGGGACAGATTTAAAAGAAAATCAAGTTTTAACCAAAATGAGCAATGTTTAGTAGTTTAGCATTATACCAGTATTTTTTTATTTTAGGTTGTATGTTGCTATCTCTTCCAGAGTGTGTGATTTGGTTTTACTTTAAATTTGCTGTCAAGGCAAACTCTGCTCTCCCAGAACAATCCTGCAAATTTTGCCCTGTACATTCTTGTAGAGAACAATTAAAGGAACTCCGGGGACATAATTGTGTAACTGGGACAACACTGCTCAGTTTTTTCTGATGACTACTCTGTTTTTACAGATCTGTGTCCCCTCAGCACTAACACATTACCCAACTTTTGTAGGTCCACTCCCACATATGGCTAACAATGTCACTCACTTGCCACATTTAAGCTTTCATTTTTCTAAGGCAAGGCAAATGTATTTATACAGTGCATTTCATATTCAAAGGCAATTCATTACACTTTACATAAATAAAAACAAGAAACAACCAAAGGAAAATTTTTTAAAGTACATAAAATGGAACGTAAAACAAAAATGCAGTGCATAATAAACATAAAATGCATAAGAAATACTGTGTCTACACTTTCACTCACTCAATCAATAATGCTGCACACTGATACCAACTCCTTCACTGTCTTTCTCTCTCTCTGTAGACTGTACCTCATCAACTCTCCTGTGGTGAGAGCAGAGAACTTGCGTTTTAAAGAGGAGGGTGTGCGAGACGTGTTGAAGGATGTCTTCTTGCCGTGGTATAATGCCTATCGCTTCCTTGTGCAGAATGTACAAAGGTTACAGAAGGTATGTTTGTCTGCAGTGTCCTCTTTATTTCTGGTCTAAAAGCCACAGCACTGCTTAATACTACAGCAGTTTACTATTTTTAAACCATTAGTAATTAGGTAATCTGTGTTATAGCCATCAAGTTATGTAGCAATAGCTGCAACGGTAATGTACCCTAACATCCCGATGTAAATGCATAGCACTTTTCTACGCATCCAAACGCACTACAGTAATTTCCTATTCAATGCATAGCACTTTTCTACGCATCCAAATGCACTACAGTATTTTCCTACTCGCACCAATGGCGGTAAAGCTGTCATACAGTCATTCACACACACTCACACACCAGTGGTGATGGCCACTTCAGGTTCAGTGTCCAAGGGCTGAAAGAGCCGGGGATCAAACTACCAGCCCTGTGTTTAGGGATCAAACTACTCTACCTCCTGAGCCACAGCAGGTAATGGCTAGGTTTGGATTTGCAACTGTAAAAATTCAGATGCAGATTTTTTTTCATATGGCCTTTGAGCTGCACATTAAGCCTGTCCTGTGAGAACAAATTTTAGAGAAAGAAGTTTGAATGTTGCTTTGGCTATAGGCTGTAGATTCTCTGCAAAAGGGAGCAGTTTGGACCTGCAGATGCTTGTCAGTGTTGCCACTTAATGGCAAAGAAAAGAAAGGACCCTACAATTCAACTTTTGGCTGCAAAAAGACCAAACTGTGGTTTTTGAAGTTTTTATAAATTGTCATTTATTTCAATTTCTAAACAGATATGACCAAGGTTAAATATTATGCCTTTTCAACAAATGAACCTGTTCTATGCAGTTGGGATGCATATAATGGTCACTCCTTCTATGAACTGTCCTAACAATAAAGAAATTGATACTATAAGCCAAGTCCAATTGCTATTCCATTTACTCCACATTTTACATTGTGCAGGCTAAATTACAAGCACACACAAACAGCAAATTCAAAAAATACTGCACTTATAACTCTGTGTACCTGGAGGTAGTGCAGCAGTGGCTTCTCTCGCCTGTAGATAATCAGTACATGTAGGTATACATCAGCGTGTCTGTTAGTGTTGTCACGATACCAACATTTTGGTACCGGTACCAAAATGTATTTCGATACTTTTGGATAGTTTTTCAGATAAAAAGAGAACGCAAAAAATGTCATTACTGACTTTATTTTAATAGAAAATCCACTGGGTGGGGTCACTGTCTCCGGACCAGAAGCACCAGACCTCTGCAGTGAAAAAATAAAATTAAGGTGATACATTTGTCATACAAGCTGAGGCCTTATTTACGTTGAGATACATAACCTAAAAAATATTTTCATTACATATAGCCTGTCTTAAGTAGGACCAATGTTTTTAAATGGTATGTTACCAGTCTTTATAACATATTAAATGGCTAAATATGTATGTAAAACACTGAAGGACTGTGCTGTAACCACATTTAACGTTTTGAAAAAACACATTTTTTTATTCAAATTTAGAAAAAAAATTTCTATGTTTGATAAGAACTCTTTATCCTGTGTTGCACACTTAAAACTATTGAACTATTGTCTTTGAAAAGGGCACATGTCATGAGTAAATTACCTGTCGTTCCCTGAACTCAGTGTGCAGGTCT